AAGTGTTGGTGAGTGAAATACTCGATATATCTACATATACAGTCGATCACAAAATTATTTCAACACCGGTATAGATTTGATTTCTATACTTTATATTTTATGATAAATACAATTGAAAGATAAAAATACATCGTGTTGCGTTGGGATATAATTTTCAAATAATAGAACTACGAAAGTAATTATTTATTATATATGTTTATATAAATATAGGATAAAAGAATAACTAATTCTTATATCATTATTGTGATATTTTATAAATGTCACAGTTTTCTTACCTTTATAAATCCATAAAAAAATGTAACGGAATTAACGATCAAGCATTCATTAACTATATTTTAAATGTATGTAAAATACATAAAAGTAGAACATCAATTACCATATAGAAATGTACGAATGACGATAAGTAATTTTGATTTAAATTATAATTGACACTTGATTCTCTAGATTTTTAGCATTAAAGATAAACGTGATATTATTACAAATATTAAGAAAGAAAAGTGTTTTAATGTTTATAATAATGAAAAGTGAAAAACGCAAATTCATCATATTATTTAAATCCAAAACATATATTTATATTTAACAATAGTAGGTCGGCGACAATATGAATATGCATTTCGAATCATAGAATAAAACGACAACGATGATATTCGTAATACAAATAAATAATAAATAATAATTCATACACAGATTCAGCAAGAATTTTCGTTGTATTGACGTTTTGCAAATATCGATACCATAATTTTCTAGTTTATATTGTATTGAGAAAATAGAATGAGTGACCAATTTGGATCGAAATAATCATATCCAGAAATCTAAATATTTTCGTAACATAAAAATTACTTATTAACAATTTTCTAATAACCGTGTAATATAATAATTTTTATAAACTTGTTATTTGAAAATTATATTTTAATATAATAATATTTGTTTTCTGTGCATCCAAATTTTTATAATCAACAGTCAAATCTATTCAGGTATGCAAATGTTTTTGTAACTGACTGTACTCGAGGTTTCTTGAATATTGCTTAGAGCCCTTAATTCGTATATCCGTATATTCTGTGAATTAAATTCAAAAGTTTACTTTAAGAAAAATCATTCCGTGATAAAAAAAAACTATCTAATAAATTTCTATCGAAACGTAAATAGAATTTAGTTTTAATTTTAATTCCTAACTTCTCACGATATATTTTCTTAAATTAATTATGCTATTTATAAAAAAAGAAAAAACGGCTTTTAAAATTAAATAATTAAATTAATAAACATTAAATGCGATATTTATTTCTACTATTATGTGACTTCGTTAAAATGCACTAATGTATACGATAATTCAGAGAAATATGCATCGATGTGCATACAAACGATGCTTGCACAGCTATCTTTTGAACGCTACACAGGTTCCATTTGCGCCGACGTGCGTGAACGCTAAGAGTAATAGGATATTAATCGAATTACTTCGATCGACTGTAAATCATATGGTTCATCGGCTGTAGAACAATTCGGTTTACGATAATAAAAGTTTGAAATTCGTCTCGTAAACGCGTAAAGAGATCTGACAAATTTGACAAAACATATATATATATATATATGTATATATACATATGTATTGCAATAGTGAGTTTGTTATGCTTTGCGATGTCATGTGTAAAATGTTGATATAAGATTATCAACATTTACATTGTGTGTAAAATGTTGATATAAGATTATCTATAATATCTTCCAGGTAAAACATAACTAACAAACTGTGATCAGTATCAATAATGTATCGCATAGCGATAACATACGTATATGCAGCTATTATGCAATTAATATATATATATATATATATATATATTTTGAACTCGAGTAAACTTATAACACTGATTCTTTATAACAGTTATCAAGATTTATTTGCATTGTTGTCAACTTCAGATATCCCGAAATTTTATTTTTTTAATCGTTTTAAGATTTGATTGCTGCAATTTTAAATTTTGATTACTTGATGTTGTTAATTTTTTTTTTTTTTTTTTTTTAAACGAAGGCGCGAATTCATACGACGCGAAAGAGAGATCCACAAATGAGAAGGATGCACGCCTACGTAGAGGCGGCTCTCTCCAAATAAGATTCGATTGTGCATCGAAACGACCATCGCAACAACTACGAACATACCATAAACAAAGAGGCCCCTTTATGGCTCGCGATCATCCAACTTATATCTTTCTCGTCATTTGGCATTTAACCTCCGAGATTTTACTTCTTAGCATCGATAATTTCCAAGAGTTTGGTATTATAAAGGCATCTTATACTCGTCTAATTATCGTTAGCCAATGATACGTATGCATATTTAATAGCGTGTTTAGTTATAATTATTTTTTCTCCATCCTCTCCCTTTATCTTATGATTCTTCGTATTATTTTTTTTTTTAACTATTTTTTAATAAGAAATCGTTGCAAATGTTTTAATTCAAATTGTGATAATTCTCAGAATAGAAGCAAAATTTTTATATAATTCATATTATAACGGAAATATTTTATCGGAAATTTTTCGAACGAAATTTTCTTATGTGCTATCTTTATTTATAATAAATCAACACGTAATCGTAGTTATTTTGGTTGTATCTCCGCCCAACCGGAAAAACGTTGATTATCGTGCGGAACATTCGAATACAGTTTGTGATTAAAATTAAATGATTATTTCTGGACTAGTATTATTTCTCTTTAACTCTATTTTTAGAATTAAATAAATTTAAAATATGTTACAATTTTATTTGGAACGTTTCTAATCTTTTTTTACTAACGATCTTTTGATATGGTTGCTCGCAATAATTGTAAGATTTCGTTCCATTATAGATGCTTGTTCATGACTCATCGATAGTTAGTCGTGCATCGTGTAGAAACCGCGGTTTGACTCATGGAGAATCGTTCCAGGGCCACGCGAAAGTTTTCTTTGGCCTATTCGAGGTCTCTCTCTCTCTCTCTCTCTCTTTCGTTCTAGGAGCAATAAACGCGACGAAACGTGAAAATAAAAATACCTAAAAAGATCGTGCGATAAATGCGGTTACTGTCGTGACGCTTTATATATTCTTGCGTTAGATATTTCAAAGTTATTTCGATAATATCGATTTATCCAGACGTTTAGTTGGGAACCAGTAAAGTGAAAGGGGAATTTAAGTACAATCATAATGTACAAGAATAATTTTTTATTAGTGTTTTTCAATGCCTGTCAATGATCAAAATAATGGAAAGAAATTTTTAGTTTTTAAAAAATTTAAAAAGTGAAAAGTTATGAGCTTTAAATTTCAAAATATGTACTTCACACTTCTGCATAAAAACTTTGTGGAAGATGTGGTTCGAAAAGACAACTGAATTATAGAAAAGATACCTGCTTGCTTGATAGCAGAATCACGATCTTGAAAAGTTGTTTCTGAACACGGGAATCTTCAACATTAGCACAACTCGCTGACCGACGCCCACTCTTTTCCCATCTTTTTCTTCCTTTTACGCTGTTCGCAACTGCAGCATATCTCTCTCTCTTTCTTTCTTTTCCTTTCTACGTCTCTCTGTGACAGTATGTCTGGAACTTTGCCAAACAAAATGGACAATTGCACGAACCCAATATTTTCTTCCTTCCGACACAGTTCAGGTCAATGTAAAAATGTTTCGAGAGATACATCGATTGAGATCTTTTTATCACATTGTTCTTATCAATTCTTAAATTTTTTTATCAAAATTAATTAATTTAAATAAACGATTATATTATTTGCTCGATTCGTTTTATTTCGCGCGAATTGAAACACGAATTATTAAAATTTGAAGAAACGTAAAGATCTCCATAAGATTATATCAAACGTGGTTTTCGTGGCGATAAATTTAAAAACTGAAGAACTTAAAGAAGAATGAAATTATATGAGAAAATTATCGAACCATTGCCTCGATTAATTTGACGAAATAGATAATTTGTCCTTGGATCGTTTGATGCTATTTCGTGGGATGCAATGGTTCGTCTTTGAACGATCGATAAATCTTCTTTTGTATATCGATCGACGTACTCTTGTAATAAACGCTTCTAATCAAGCTTAAGTGGAGTTTAAACGTTTGCCAAAGAATCGAATCGAGAAAATGAAAAAAAGGCGAGTATCGATACTACGATTCTCTGGAGCTAAACAATACTGTCCAAGGGCCGTGGTCTGTCTGAAAATATCCACAGGAAAAGATAAAACCGGCGTTTCTATATATAGAGGGGTCTTGGAACAGTGCTTCTCATGTGGATTCATTTTCGACGATAAATTGGAATCATCCACAAATTCAACCATCGTGATCTTTTTACCGTTATATTTCTCTTTTTTTTTTTTTTTTTTTTTTTTTTT